TTTAATAAGAAAGACACGGAGAAGGTACCTACAAGTGTCAGAAAGCCAAACTTCACACTTTGTCACACGTACCTGGAACAACTTATACGAGATAGAGAAACAAAAAGCTGTATGTGCAAGTAATCACAAAACAACATGCAGCTTAACTAAATAAAATGAATAGATCTACTAATGTAGTTGTGACTATTTATGGCATTTGTCTCATTTCATTTCCATCGCTACTAAAGGAATTCATTAACACCACTTTCTAATTGCATGTAACAGCTTTTCAAAGGATTATAATTAAAACATCCCTGCATAATGTGAAAAAATTAAGATGCCCATTTGCTGTATTTAAGGAATTTTAACACTTTGAAGTAAGTTTAATTAAAACGTGTTCAGGAGTTGCTGACGGAGACAGAGAGAGGAGACAAACAGAGTGAGACTGGGGGCATGCATATCAAGGGGAACATGATCTAAGTAAAGCACATCCTTTCCTGGCAGCTCCTCCTGGGACCCGTTACAATGAACCCTAATGGTGTGAGAGAACATGAGGCAGCAGTTTTCTTTTTCTTTTTTATACAGACAATGTCAGTGTGACCAACCAGCACTCAGCCCCGATGAAACAACCCTGATGAGCAGGATATTTTACAAACTTTAAAAAGGCATGAAAAGATTCACTTAACACATTTACTAAATTGTTGTATTTTTTTCAAAACTATGTCAAGGTTTAAATTCTAGGGTTGAATATGACCTCAGGCTTTTGCATTTAATTGACTCTTAATTTGGAGCACACTGAGAGGCATGGTGCATGCTAAACACCACACTTCAGACCTCCCTTGGGTTCTGTCTGAGTCATTTTGACACATTATACATATGAGTCAGACCACAAATTAATTTTATTGATGCCTCTCTCTCCCCCTTTCATGCAGCTCCCATAACATGTGCTAATGAATCTTCTATGTGATGTACTAAAGTTTTTTTGGATGTAGCTACTAAATCTGACTTAATTTCCACAACGAGTTTAAAGTTGATAAACTTAGATTATTTATATGATATTAGGATACTTTAACTGGAACAATGCAACTGCTCAAAATCGTAAGATCTTCAATTAGTCCAAACACTGAACAATTTATTGGCCATTTTAAATAATCCCAGTTACCTTAATAACAACTAGTAGCCTACAAACAGAGAAACAATTGCCATCAATAATCCAAAAGCTAAAAGACTTTTCTCCCATTTCCTGTTCAAAATCATGAACTCTGTCGTGTTTCTCACTGACTACTATACAAAAACCCACAGAACTTGTATAACTTTAATTGATTTTGCTAAAACTAGATCATATTTTATGGAGAAAATATTTTATGGTTTTTCCATGTTTATTGGATTTAATGTCCCCCGACTGCTCTGCTTCAACTTTCAGTGATTCACAGAGTACCCTGATGGAAATATAGTTTCAGCTACTTGTTGTTAGTGGTGAACTACTTTAGCCACTAACTAGCTGCTGCTTTTAGCTGGTTAGTACAGCTAACTTAGCCTCAGCTGAGCTACACAACATCAGATGAAAAAAACATCACAAAAAAGCACTTTCTGCATACAAAAAGTATCCTGACTCCTGGGCAGAGCAGTCTGATAACTTAGACCAACTGAGCGGGTCTCTGTAGTCCTACTTAAGTAGATAACGGTATAAATAAATCTGTTGCATTCAGTCTTAATTCTGGGCTTTTTGTTCACAGGGATTACGTTAATCTCATTATTTGACATGCTGGCCTTTTTCAGACATCGGACACCGTAACATTACATATGACAGAAACTAAGTACAAGCATAACACCTCCCCTTTCATTTCCAGCAAGAAGTTAACAGACGATTTATTTATAAAAAGTTATGGATGTCAAATAAAATTTTTTGAAGAACTAAAAAACAACCATAAATTTGATGTAACCTAAAACCTCCTTCAGCAGACCACTGGGCAGTGGGCCCAAACTTAGTACTTGTTCCAAACAAGCTATAGTCCAGCCACTTCCTAAGAAACCCTGACTCACACCAACTATTCTAAACAATTTCATACTCGATTTCAAGCTGTAATTATTATGGTTTTGAGAAAGTTTTAATCTATAATTGTAATAAACAGCAACAGCATATAATCAAATTTGAGAGAGAAAACAATCTAGCAATAAAAAGTCCTTTTAAAGCCCCTTTTACCAACACATACCATGAGGCCACCCTGACATCGAAATCTTTTTTCCTAGGCTGGAGAAATTAATCCTCTTTAAATTCCTTAGAATGTGTGCGCACCATCAAGTTTCGCAATATCAAGTGCATTATGAGTGTGGGAGAGTGCGCATACTCATGCTTTAGTATGTGGACTTCAATAATTGTGCCTGTGGGTGGGTGTGTCTGTATTAACCTATGTGCTGGGTGGATTTCAAAAGGATCCCTTCTAGCTCTTCATTTGATGCTTTTACAAAGGGCCCGCTTCGCCGCAGGGGCCTGTGTGTGTGAGAGAGAGTGTGTGTATCTGTGTGTGTGTGTGACAACCTCCAAAAAGAGCACCATCTTTTATCTGAGAGCTGAGACAAAAGGCCATCGACATGGTGGAGAGGACCGAGTTATTGTTGCTCCGAGCGTGACGCCTTCACACGCCTACACACCCACTAGCCACAGGATGGTCATGTTACACCCTTGAGCAGAGGTGTCAGAAACACACACACACACACACACACACACACATACACAAACCCCTAAAGAGTAACTTAATACCAATCTGAAAGGCAGTGTTTTACTGCACTATCTGATTTAAAGTTTAAAGCTTGTTTCACCTCTGACCATAGCAACACTGATGGGTCTGGTAAAGGTACAAAGAGCCCACGTTTGACCCCAGCAAACGACACCCAACAATATTTTACAGGGTGTTAAGTTACCTTTTAAGTTCAGGTAGAACTTGTCTCCCCCCCCTCCCCCACCCCTCAGCCATGTCAAATGAACTCAAGTACCCCCTCATAGACAACACCATTATGTTCTAAATGGGTGAGCGGGTCTGCGTACACAGCCGGATGATCAAATATGATTGACAGGGAAAAAAATTAATCAAGACATTAGCTATGAATTCTCCATATCCCTCTTGTGCTCTGTTCCTCTCACAACTACTGGCATCAAAACGAGAAGGAAGTGGTAAAGAAGTAAAGCCTGCCTCTTGCTTGATTTCACTGGCTGCCTACGAAAAGTGTGACATTCCACGGCTTGCACTGAAAAGAATATTTTAAATTTTATGCATGTCTGGAAACCACTAGAAAAATGCAGAGCAGAAGAGGATCACAGGCACACCAGGAAGGAAAATAGTGTTGCTGGTGACACATCTCTGTGTGACTGTAAACTTTCAGTGTTTAGTTAGTTAGCTAGTCTTTGGTTTCCATTCGCAGGCTACTACTAGCCTTGTAATAGTCTTAATTGCAACATTGTTCAGGACTGATTTGTGGTTATTTTTTCTATATCAAATCGTAAATTCAATTTATCGGATTAGTTGAGCTACTCCACATTTTTTCCTCGTATCCCCTGGCAACTGCAGAAGCAGCCACTGCAGTGCAGGTGCCCCTAATTGGGAATCACTGATTTAGAATATTAAAACAAAAACAAACCATGGTCCCAAAAGTACAACATGACAGAAAGAGTACACTGGAACTGAGAATCTTAAAAATGTTACTGTGTTATGCCCAGTCCCTCCCCAGCACACACACATACCCTCACCCAACCCACAGGAAGAGCTGCTTGCCCTAAGACAAAGGGCTGACAAAACAGCTACAACTAAAGGAAGAACACAAAAGGAAAAGGGGTAAGGCTAGGGTCAGGGTTTAGAAATATGGCTTCTAGATTCAGCCAAAGGAGGAAGTGCCATGATCTAAGAGACTTAACATGCACTTATATTCAAACAATACACCAAGGAAACAGACCAAACATTTTCCTCACAAACAACAAAGCATCAAATGAGGACTTTTTTTTTTTGTTAATACATTCTGTATGGCGTCCCCTATAGTGACACGCATCACAACAGCCTGGTGACTTCTCTCTGTGTGACTCTTGCACGGCCTGTGTGCCTCTCAGCAGGTTTGTGTCTAAAACTAAACTGCTGCAACCAGGATATCCTGTCAAATGTCAGTACCAGCAGTTCGTAACGCCTCTCAACAGCAGCCAACCGACCTCCCACTGAGGCGTGAGCCCGCTACGAGGACACCAAATCGACTCTCGCGCTGTATACAGCTGAATACAGTGTATACATGTCTAGATACAAAAATGTGCACACACAGGATAACGAGTGAAGCATGGAGCTACAGTGTATTGCTGAACAAGGTACAAGCATAGCCTAAATAGTGTGTTGCGAGCAGAGTAAGCCAGCAATTTGAGGTAAACAAGTGAGTCAGAAACAATTAGAGGTACTTGGATGGCATTCTGCAACCCAGATAATCAAAACACTGGAACATTTAGAGACGAGGAGACAAAAAAAGAAGACGCTTGCTTGAGGGAAAGAAACACAAGGCAAAATTAGGCTACAGGCACACAACTAATCCATAATGTGTATTGTGAAGGAACCAAGTAATACTGCCAACTAATTACTTTCCAACGCAGCAGATTTATCAGCTGTATAAGTGCTCTTTCTTTATACTTTCCAAAATCATAAACTTCTACACCACATTTCCATCCCCCCCTCCCCAAAAAAACATGAGGCCACAACGCTCAACTGTCTTAAAACACATCCGTTCTTTATCATTTTCATTCTTCTCTGGTTAGACGTGGAAAACCCACACCATCCCATCTCAAATCAACTACCAAACATGTACAGTACGTACCAAGAAATTCACAACCTGAGATTGCAAACATCTAACCACAGTGTTCGTGGCCACTGGTGACACACTGGAGAGGAGGCAGGAGAGTGCACAGAGCCGCACCCTGAGGCCTACTGCATCCTGTGTAGCTATTGTAAAGTAAGAGTAAAAAAAAAAAACACTATGAAGATGTAAGGACTCACCCGGAAAGCTTGACAATCAACGGGCTTGGTAGTTCTTCCCCTGCTCAATCTGCTTCTTGTGCAAACAACTACTCAAAGCGGAGAGAGAAGGTAGCTCTTTTCTAAGCAACTTTAGTCTGGGTATGTGCCTGCAAGTGAAGTGCCTTCAGCATCATAAGCCATTGACAAAGACTTCGCAGCGGTTTGAGCAGTGCTTCGCCTCGGGCAAAAGAGCGACCAAGAGAGCGCTGAGAGACAGACAGAAGGAGGAAGTAGGCGTTTGTCGAGAAAAGAGGAAACAGGTCTGTCAGCGGAAAAAAGCGGCAAAATTCAAAGATAAGATGACAGCGAGCAGGAAGAGACTGCAGGAGTCTAAAGTTTAGACTTGTATGTAAACAAAGACAAACCATGCATCTGAATCATCCCTATAAATTAAAAAATACACTTAATTGGGCTAATTGAATTAATTGAGGATAATTATATCTTATAAATATTTCATTAGTGTCTTCCTCCTCCAGTGCATTTCTGTGAGACTAATCTACTGGAGCCTCAAATCAGGTTACCTTGGCAAAGCTTAGCAAAAAGGAAACCACAACCTTGACTCTGTCCACTGGTTACATGATCTACCTGCTAGCACCTACAGCTCACTGGTTAACACATTATATTGTGTTTATTTATAAGTACAAGTGTAAAAACAACAAAGTTGCTCCAGGAAGTTACTGCCAAGTAATAGTCCAACACATAACATCCTGCCAGCCCGGTAGTATCAATCTTCTCATTTACATCTCAGCAACAAAGCAAATAAATGTATTTGCCAAAATGTTGAACAATTGCTTTAATCAATTATTCTAAAATTCCACCCAAGCCTTTTTCAGTGTACCACACACAGAAAACAGTTAACCTACGAGAGATGTGACCCACACCATAAGGGGAAAGGGCTCAATCGGAAACTCTCCAAATGTTTTTAAAAATATAGGCATCAAAATGAGCACTTGTACAGCCTAGTTAGATTTAATGTTGCGTTTAATACTGCTATTGACGTCTAGAGAATCAGTGATTACCACAAGCATACTACATGCTTTCATTTCCCCCCAATCACCACTGATGCAACAGTGTCAGAACAATCAACAACAAGTTCCAACAGAGTGAGTCAGATACACTGTCACAAAAGACCACTAATCATGAGCTAAGAGGCTCAATGCCCAAATTAAACATTTATTGTTTGAACAGGGCGATGACATCTTCATTTCAGACTAAGAGCTCAACAGGCCATATGTGCAAGTGTCACACAAAAACAGATGTTTACTCCACCCAAGCTGAGGTCAACTTTGGTTCGTATGAGCCTCATAAATGCAAACATCCAGAACTTTTAGTTCTGACATGAAATCCCATAGAGCCTTAATAAGGCAAGTTTCCAAGTAAGGAAACATTTCAACACAGCAACCGGAAAAACAACCAGCTAATAGAAACATATCACATCCTGATTGAGTTTGAAGGCAGGGCTGTGCATGAGCTGAGCTGTCATGTGGTTAGTTGAAGCCAAACTTTTGTGCCATGGAGACCTGAGGAAGTGAAAAAGTTTAGAGGACCTTTGTCACTAATTTCTTCTTGCCAGACAGCTAAGAATATTTGTGATCTACACACAGCTGTCTGTCACGGAAACTGAAGTCTGCTGAGTCAGAGAGCCCAGTGGACCCTGGATAGATTATTAAAGCTTTAGAGATGGAGTTCGGTGAAACTATCTCAGCTCCCTCGTGAATACCCTGCCTCTGTGTACTCTCTTTCAACCCCACTTACCCAACCAGGATTCTGTACCCTGTTTGTCGACAGCCTTTCAAAATCCGCCTATCGTCAACTCCTTTTGCACTCCTTCCACTGGCTGCTCTTGTCAAAATTCAGGACCTCTGTGTTTGGGTGTAACAATGCTGAGGAATTTGCCCCCCCCTCTATTAAAGCCATAGTCCAGCCTGCCATCATTTTTTTTTTATATACAGTCAAAAAGATACTATTGGTATCTGCTACAAGAATTCAAGCTGACCACAGCTGTTGTTCTCCATGAACAAGAAAACTGGCAATGTTGAAAGCCAGCTTTCAAGCCTCTCTGGAAATCTCTTCTGAAACTGCTAAAAAGTGGTTTGTAATTATGACATGCTGCTATGTTTACATGTACGTCATTCATTCTGGTTTATAAACTCCATCAACAGACCTGAAATCCTTGAGATTTAGAAAAATTTATATTTTTTAGTCGACCAAGGAGCAGCAGATTGTAGTTTGGTCAGGGAGTGTGACCTAAATTGTCTGTCTAGGCTGTTTCTTGTTCCAATCATGAGCTATTCAGCCCTCGTATGCAAAGCCGGTTGTGTTGAAGCAGTGTTTGAAAGAAAAATGTTGAATATAATTACTACTAACAAACATGAAGGCTTACGTTTTTGAAAATCAGATATCATTGACTGGCAAAACTTGAGGCAATTTTTTTCTTTGGTAGGCATGAAAATATTATTTGTGCTGCAGAAAATCTGGGGGTAGTTAGGCAGTATAAAGTAAAACATTATTAAAAACAGTGTCTTTTTATCCCATTTTGACAATCAAACATATATATATAGTCTTAAGGGAATCGATATTTCGGGAATTAAACACATACTTGTTTTTTCTTGCCGAGGGTTAGGTAAGAAAATCAATACCACTTTCGTGTCTGTTAAATTTGAGGGGAAACAGCTGTCCTGGTTCTCAATCTATTGCTTCAAAGTTAAAATGAAAATAAAAGATAAATAAATAATAACTTCCTTTTCCACCTTCTCAGTTAGAGACCATTCAATCGAAACAGTTAAACTTGTAATTATCAGAATAATAGTTTGTTGTTATTGTTTGTACTATTCAAGAGAGGCTATTATCAGTCAGCTGTGGCTGTGACCCAGGCCCACATTACTACCGGTTGCTTGTAATGTTGGTGATTCAGAATTTTTTGCTTTTGGTTACACTCAACTCTAAATGGATCTAGATGAGTGCATCTGCTGAAAACCCAAAGTGTAAAATGTAACTGCAGATGTTGAATAATAATATCAGACAGATGTTGACGTCATTCGGTCGATTAGTGTTTCATAACCCTTTTTCTTATTCACAGATTTTCTTTCCCATTTTTCAAACATGAAGTGAATCTGCACATTCCCACAGTCTGCTTGCAGAGGAGGCTGTCGGGCAAAGATAATTCCACGACACCTTAGGGGATCATCTATTATTCAAAACCGCATCCAAATTTATTCCACTTGAAGAGGAGTAACATGCTTAACTTGTAATCATCCAACTCCAGTGGTTATGATCCCATGCATTCCAACATACAGTGGTCTTGTGTAACAATGGTTCCTGTCCACAAAAGAAAGCTGGACAGTGTTTTGGTTTTCTAAACTGCACATCACCTAGCAAAACAATACTTCACAAGTAGGTGTATGATCACCCAATATCCTGCTTCCCAAAACAACACGAGGTCTTAAAACAAAACAGGAATCATCTCCTTTTGCCTTGACCACGAAACAAGTGTCTGTGGCTAGCTGATGAGTTAACATATGCCAATTGTCTTTATACAAATAAATAAACAAGCTATTAGCCTGTAGAAATCCCAGTATTACCACAATGAAGAGGATTCTGTAGAGAGCCAGGCCTCCTGCTTGGGAGTCTGAGGAGGAAGTGCGAACTGGATTAATTTTACTGGGGGATGACCTGTAATGTAATTATCATGGGCCATATGTAACATACAGTAGATAACAGCAGACAATCCGACTGTCAAATTATTAAAACATACAGTAATGCAGGATTACAAAGATGTCCATTCAAAACACTGTAAGAGTTTTACAGAAATGGTAGGCTACATGTACGTGGCATAATTACCCTTCTTCATATTCTGGACAAAAAGAAAATCAAACAAATAGGAGTTAAGAACAGACTTCCCCCAATAAAATATAGTTCAAAACATACATTTTATATGGAGTAAACAGCCTGCAGTGAAGACCACAGAGGCAAAGGTAATAGGTACACAACCTGGTAGCTACAGTAGCTACTTAATTGGACCAAACACTCCTGGGTTTATCTTACTGCATGAAATGTCAAGTACAGCTACTCTGTTAGCTGGGTCTCACTGGTTGTGCAAGTATCCTCTTATTATCGTCTGTGATAGTTTATAACAACAACAACAACAACAACAACAACAACAACAACGACAACGTGGTCACACAGGCTAATGTGCTGCTGACTTCTCGCTTATATCACAGTAGTTTTGCACCACACAGATTCAGTGGGAAATGAAGTGCACTTGTATGATGTTTAGGTTGCAACAAACAGCCTAAAACAGCAAGGTTATACTGGTGGTGCTGTGTATATTATGCTTGTGTAATAAGTGCCCAGTTTAGTGCAGTGCTTTATACAAAGTTTGTAAGTTTTATGAAGGTCTTTGTTAAACAACCAGATTTTGTTTTTATAAACTCCTCACACCATCTGTGCTCAAGTCAGCAGAGCACCAGTACTGCACATCAAAAGCACACTCACAACATCAACCGTTGTTGAGGTATTCCTTGTTCACATCTGCAATACTAAACAAATTTAAATATATATATATGTTCAGTGTGTAACATTTAGGAGTATCTATTGGCAGAAATGGAATATAATATGCATAACTATGTTTTCATTAGTGTATAATCACCTTAGGATGAACCAAGTTAGTTCTAAGGTATTGAGTCACCTTGTTGTTGTAAAAATAATATCTCATACACCACGAACGAGAGAGACTCGAAAGGAGATACAAGATGTTGTTATAAAGAGCATTATTGTCCGCATTTTCACCTGAGCACAAGAGCATCTATTTAGCCAGCGACAGTTATGAATCAAAGCTGTCAGAAGCTCCTATATCTAATCACTAATCCATCATCTCTGACTGACAATTAGCCGTTACTTGTCACTTTTTAGGTTTTATTCAAACTGTTAGCAATAACCTCTGTGAATCCAAAATAGTAACTGCTCTTCACTTTCCAATGAGCCCGTATTACTCCCTGAAAAGAGCAAGCTTCTTCTTTCCAGCAGAGGCCCCATGTCACCGCCATTGATTTTTGGGCTTGGCTCCTAAGTGAGCCAGAAGTTTACCTAGGAGCCAACAAAAGCTGACTAAGGCTTTGCAGATAGATGGTACTTTCACAAAGTTTCTAAATCTTGCTGGGAATTTCCACATAGCACGGAGGTTATCAGCGTTTGCAGCTTGGGTTTTTCGCTTCTCGGTCGCCTGC